TCTGGATGAAAATCAAGCCAGAATATCCTGAAATCGCCACAAGAGCACTGAAAACCCTGCTACCATTTCCAACATCCTATCTTTGTGAAGCGGGCTTTTCTGCAGTGACAGCAACCAAGACAAAATTACGGAACAGACTGGACATAAGGAACATTGTTCCTTGTCATTGTTTCCCATCAGCCCTAGATGGGACCATCTTGTTGCAGGGAAACAAGCCCAGGGCTCCCACTCACTCTGCATTATGGTGAGTTGCTATAGTGTAGAAATATTGTAATTGCCCAATATAAAGTGTAATTGTTGCATTCAGATTACATACTATGAACTGACAAAGGTTTTTGTTATTGGAACCCTGTGCCTCTACCCGGTCCGCAGAAAATTTTTCATGCATGAAACCGGTCCGTGGTACGAAAAAGGTTGGGGACCGCTGCTCTACAGTATGTGGCTCAGGGGAGAGGGCTGTCCTCTCCTCATGGATCTCAACCAGACTATGGAAATCAGTCTCCCTAGCTCTGTCCCTCAAAGCCCTCCCCTCCATGCCAAAACTGATAGGGAAGTGAAAATGAAAGAGAAAAACTTTGGCTTTGAAAAACACTGACAGTGACAAAAATTCAGAAGATTGTCACTGGAAAAAGACTTAAGTTAACAAAAAAAAAAATCTGATTTCATTTTTCCAGTATTAATACTTTATATATGCCAATGCCAGTGTTTGCTTTTTCAATTACAGTTTTGTTTTTTTCACTGCCTTTTTTGTTTTCAATGCCAAGCTTTATTCTTCAGTGCAAAAGACTAAAGTCATCGATTTGGTGCCATAGATATTCATGTCAAAAGAACTTGAGGTAACAGAATGCAGCCTCCTCTGAGTTACTGCAAAGTCTGTTGGTGGTAGACAACTGCCAGCTGCTCTTCTACACTATATCTCTGTTCTCAATGTTAGTTAATGAGATTACCTGCATCAGTACACAGGGGTTAAACACAGGATTAGCACCTTGACTGAGAGTTCATCAGTTTATTATACTTCTTTATTCGATACTTTGAATTTCACACTTCTAGCTTTTGGTCAAACACTTTTCAGCTTCCATACCAGTAACTGTAGTTTAGTAACAGCAGTAGTACAATGCGATGCATCACGCAATCTTACAACTGGACTAAAATCTTACCTGCTGAAGAAGAGACTCAGGACAAGTCCTGCTCATGTCACTTGTAAATAACAAAGTGGGAGATAACTGTATGGCTGGCACAGACGAGGTGCTGGCTGATGGAAAGGCTCAGGTGGAGTCTCTGATAAAGGTAAGCTGCTCCAAGTTTTAATAGTTTGGAATTATACTGTGGCTGTTTGAGAACTTAGTGAATGTTGTAGTTTGGAAGCAGGCATGGGTTGCCATGCGATTCTGAAAATGTAATGTAAAATACCTCTTAGTTTCATATATAACACAGCAATCATCATCTGTATTCTGTATGCAAATGTTGGTGAGATATAATGCTTTACAAAATGGCAGGTCAGTATTGCATGAGAGTGAAAAAACCTTATAAAAAGTCCAGAATGTTTTGCAGCAGAAATGATCATCTTTAATATTTTAACTTTTAAAATTAATATTTTGCAAACTATGCATACACGAGACAAAGCATCTTTTTTTTTCCTGTGGCATCAAAAACACTCAATAAAAAGAATATTTTGGTCCACTGCATTTTTGTGACCATTATGTGCTAATTCATTTTGTCTGTCAACAATATATAGTTAATTTATACTGTAAAATAACATTTTCACATTG